AGCGGCTGTCTTCTGGTCATCAACTGAGAATGCACTTTCAGATTTAGAAACTCTTAAAGCCCCATTTTATCCCCAAGCAAGACTTAGTGAGTCAACATAAGTAATGAGTTGCACCCCAAAGCATATTGAATTAGGGATCTGCCTTAATAACAAACCATCTTGTTAGCTGCAGTGTAATTTATGGGGTTTTTATTAGGATTCACTATCAGTGTCACTGGCTGTTACAGAGTGCTAGCCTGAAGTTTGATTTATTCCACTGTGTCAGTTATCAGGATAGTTCTTGGATACTAATCTCCTTTTCCTGTAACTGCAGAGACACTCAGAACCATAGCAAGACAATTTTGTCACCCAAGGCAAGAACTTTTCTTGGATTTTTACACTGAATAGTCCCTTTTCTTCTCCTAGTCTCCTCCTGCTCAGCCTTTCAGCCACCAACCTCATGGACCTGCAGCTCCTTCCCTTGAAACCTGATGTCTGGCTTAAAATATTTGCCCCAGCTGATGTCCCTCTTGGCCTATCCTTGCTATGATTCCAGAGGAATCGAGACATGTTCAGTATCCTGAAATCATTGGTTGCCTGCCTTTATAATTGATCACATAGGTTTGTTTTTGACTTTTCAAATTCTTTGAAACAATAACATAGGGGAAAAAAGAGGTATACTGAAGCTGCAGGTGCACATGTGAAGGAAAGATGGCCGGTAAGTTCAAGGGCAGTTTAGGATTCAAAATGATCTTGATGAATCGCAGATATGATCTGAAAAAATAAGGTACTTTTCCATAAAGGACAGTCATTGCACCCAAATAATTATGGGATGGAAATAGTTGTCTGATGGATAGCTCTACAGAAATAGATCTGTAGTGGTGCAGTGTCATGCTGTTATGAAGAGCAAACACCATACTGTGTATAGAAAGAGGAATGTAGCCTGTAAGATGCATGGACTAATCCTTCTGTTCTACTTAGCCAAGTCAGTAAGAGCTTAGTCCAAGGCCCTGACTTTGGCTGCAGAACCTTAAGATTTGGAGGACATCATTGATGATAATGAGAAAGCAAGTAAACATGACTAGCGGAAGAAGAGTAACTAGGATGAGTTTAGACTTAGGAAGTAAAGATAGGGATGGAAATCGTATAGGGCTACTACAAAAAGTGACTTTGCATGTTTGCCAGAAAACAAGAAGCAGTGTATAAACTCCAGCAAGGAACATACCTGTTGGGCATTAAAAATCTTCTGATGAGAAGGATAGATTAACTTTAGGACTGATATGTCTAGGGATATTGTGCAGTCTCTGTAAGTCCCTAACGTAAGTGATAAATAGCTGTGGAAGATTCCTTAATTTTATTTTGAGAAAAAATAATAAGTAAATTTTAAAAAAATCACACAAAACCTGCCAAACCTCATTTCTGGCTTTTTCCAGTTTCATCATATTATATGTTTATTCTGAAACAGAAATTTTAAAGCTGAATACCAAGAATATCATCATATATTTTTGCCAGTTTCAGGATATGACATTCTAAAAGAAAATACAAAAAAAGTATTTCTGCACAAAGGTTAAATCTCTTCAAATTTTAGTCACTTTTGGATTTGGATTTCAGGAAGGCATTTCTTTTGGCAGAGTGCTAATAATATTGGTTCCTGTTCATAAACCAGCACATTTAAAAAGGCCATTATGCAATTTTTTTGTTCCCACAAAGTACAGCTTTTAAAGCAGAGTTCTCTTTTGAAAGAAAAATTTGTGCTTAAAGAAAAAGCCAGCCATAAGTATACCAACTTGAAGTCTGTTTATTTAGAAATCACGTTTCCCAAAATAATTTCTTATGAGCTGAATTCAAATGTTCTGTAACGCTTTTGTACTTCACATGTCACTTTAAGAGCAATATATGAGTATTAAAATAAAATTCAGAAATTAGCTTAAGTAATGGAAAGTAGTCAGAGGTTTTGTCCTGCTAAAGCAGTTCAAATTCCTATTGTTAGGGTATTTGCATGTCTTCATTCAGTGGAGTAAAGTAGGAGAACTTCATTCTAGTTGGCATGCAGTGTTTGTATCGTTCACCTGCTGAAGAGGCTCAAATTACTTAGATATTTTTTTTATATAGATATATAATGATTTAAGTCCTAGGAATACTTTTAGTGTAGTAGTTTCTCACATAAAAGGAATCTTTCACATAACTTGACTGATCATCAGAGAAGCTTGTGTGTTGTGAAAATGTACTTAATCAAATTTAAAAAAGCTCCATTCAGAAGGCAGTCCATAGGACATCAGGCATTCAATAAACCCTATTTTCTGAGTTTCTTTATTATGGTAAAAAAAAAAATTGATAAGGGAAATATAAATTGTCTGAAAGTCAGTATATGAGTGTTAAAGCAGAGTATAAACATTCAGAGAGGACAAGAGGAAAAAAAAATTTTGCCCTACTTTGTTGTTGTTGTTGTGGTTCCTTCATTATTTTGTTTGGAAGATTTTTCTGGGGTTTACTTAGGTTCATTTTTTTTTTCCCCCCACTTTGTCCTATGTTGTCATGTCATAAATAACCTAGTGAAATTGCTTCATTGCATGACTTATTAACCCTTCCTATGTTCATTCTCTCCTGACTTAAAAGCATAATCCATTAGAATTTAACCCTGATGGCTTGAAGAAGGCTGCTGTTCAGAAAGCCCTAAAGGTAAAACTAATATAGTTGTCCATTTAAGGTCACAAAAGTAGTTGGAAATGCACAAATGCCTGCAGTGCTACTCTTCCAACAGCGGATGGGAATTCTGTTGCCAGATATATATTTAGTGTAATTCTGTTTTAAATAAATTCGGTTTCAAGAAGCAGTGAAGACACTGGTAAAATACTATGGTCTGTAGTAATTTATATTTTAGAATAGTCGAGTGGCGTATCGACTGCTTTAGAAGACTGAGGTAAGAAAAAATCGTCCTGAGAACTAATTTGAAACAGTAACTAAAGAACAAAGCTGACATGAAAGCTAAGACATCTTTTCTGTACTGAGTGATACTTTATTGGTCAGCTCCAAATGACTAACTCATAAGATCAGTCTCTGGCATGTTTTGAAATAATCTTGTTTCTGCTGGATGTTTTTAGAAGTCTTTATATCTTTTAAAAAAAATGCTAAATAAATTTAGCCCAGCGTTTTGATAGGAAGACACAGAGTTGAGAGGCAAAGTTAGAAGGCAGAAGCCAAGTTCTCAGCTGGAGGAACTTGGACAGGGTGCAGTCTCTAATAGGTTGTCAACAGAAGATCTGTCAGTGGCAGGTGTTAGAGGTCCATTGTGTGTGTGTGTACATACTGCTGCCTATTTAGCATGAATTAAAATAATTTATATGTACATATCAGCATAAGCAACAGAGTCTTTTTGTCAACTTCTGTATCTTCATCATTTGATGATGAAAAGGGAGTTTCAGGCACCTTTTTATGGACAAGGAAAAAAATGAATAGGATTTCACCTGCTCTTTTTAAACCCCATCAGATGGAGTGTAATCTGACTTTTTTTTTTCTGTTCCTTAAACCTCTGTGTTCTGTTGTCTGAGAACTAGATATTTTCAGTTAGAAATCATGAAAAGAAACGCAGCATTCATCCAAGAAAGGAGTGCTTTCATAACAGCTCTTTTTTTCTGAAGGAAAGTATGGTTATAAGTAGTGTCACATTAAAGTCAAATAATATCAGTGGAAGTATGATGTCCAAAATCTAAGTTCATATTCAAAAATACCTTTAATAAGCACATTCTTAATTAAAAAATATAAAATATTTTAATCTCTTGGTTGTAGTTGTGACCTTACATGCATTAAGTAGATTTTAACTAACTTTCTGTTTACATACCTGATCTCTACAATTTTCTACATGGTAGAATTCAAAGTATATTATTAACCTTGTATACTATATTTTTTAGGCCTTTTGAACTGCATTAACACCTGCTTGAGATGATTAACTTTCATGTCTAACTTTTCTTTCCGACTTAAATTTTCGTTAGGTTAATTTAAAATTCGTGAACTCCAATATGCAGTTGGGAATGTTCCTTTGTGTATATAATTTGTTTCTAAACTGATGTTTATTTTCACAGTTTGATGTAATGCTATACAGCTGATGAGCAAGGCTCAGATATGGCAGATGGTTCATTCTCTAATAAAGAGTATTTGGTAAACTGTAGAAATATACATCAGGTACATTATAGTGCATCTTCTTTCCCCACCCAAACTGAAAAGGGGGGTATGTCATTGTTCTGATATTACATCCAGTTTAACAGTACTGCAGTGTAAATAAAGTAAGCTTCCTGAGTTTGTGCTTTTTCCATATCTCCCATCTGCATGCAATATGCATTTTGCAGTTTTAACTATGCTTCATTAGTCTCAGGGGTTGTAATGCTTATTAAAGGATAAGAGTTAGCATCTTAGTAATTTCATTTGAAGAAAACAGAAAGGAGTCTAGAACTCCTGCTTGTTTGCAATGTTTGTGTTCTACGTATTCAGGGTAGTTGGATGCCTTCTTGTTATGTGTTCACCAGTTACTTGCCAGTCTGCCATTCAAGCCTGATGAATAAAATACTGAGAATAACAGATAAGCGTAGAGTAGAATGTGTATGGTTTGTATTTTTAAGATGCAAACATTTAAGTTTCAGAGGATAGAGGCTTTGCTGTATTTTTTTCTGAAGGCAAAGTTTTCGCTTTTTCTTTACCAGTCAGGAAAGAAAATAAACAGCAATCCCAACCCACTTGTTTTGCTGTCAGTTGGACACAAGGCACAGGAAAGTAAGGTAAGTTCCTACTTGGCTCTGTCTAGAAACTCTTGGTAGCTCTGTGTGCTTGGCATTGGCTATCATGTCCTTGAGTGTATCCCTGCACTAGAAGTTACCACCAGAACTGAAGCTGCCAACAAGAAGCCGAGGATTGAATGGATACTTACTCAGTTTAAATGGTCTGTGAGTAGAGACCAGAATAGCTGTACTTCCACAGTAGGTTCTGATCTGCAACTGGGATTCCTGCAGTAGTGATTTTATAAGTAACAGCGTGAGCAAACAGCAGACTCAAAATGCTGGTCAAGATTTGAAAATTTGTAGGATCACAGAGTTACAGAAATTCCCAGGTCAAAACGGACTACCGAAGATCATCTGCTTGAGCTTTCTCTTTGGGGTAGGGCACTTTGGATTAGCCAAAGGGCTGTGTAGCTCTCAGGAGCTTGAGGTGTAGCCAGGCTACTCTGTTGTGTCTGCTGCTTTTTCTGCTTTAAGGTATGGACCACTTGTGTGCTTTGAGAAGGCTGTCCTCTAGCACTCCTGAGCTCCTTTGCCCTCATGGAATCCCTTCCAACAGTTCCTAGAGCAAGTTGAAATCTCCTTTTCTGAATTTCAAGGCTTTTATTCTGCTGTTTGGTTTTCTCATGTGCCTTAGGATCTTAAGCATTGTGATCTTACGGTCACTAGCCAGGGCTGCTGTTAATAGTCACACTGGCAACCTAATAATCCTCATTTGTCAGTAGTAGATTCAGGAAAACATCATTGCTAGTCAACACATCCAGTGATTGAGAACAACCATAACACAGCAGTGTGTGTTTTCATAGCACAAACTCTTAAATTGCTGGTGCACTGCTGTGCTGTTTTCTTAGGAAACATCACACTAGCTGTAGCTCTCAGTGAGAACCTGGTCCTGCAGACCTGAAGCAGCTTTGTGTCGTCTGAAAGAGGCATCATCCCTCTCTTTTTCCTAATCAGGTGGACTGTAACAGATGCCCATCAGGAGGTTGATTTCAATGGGGATCCCTCTGATTTTGACCCAAGGCATTCAACTTACCTGTCGTCTTGTCCATAACTAACCTCTGTGCATTCCAAGAGCTCTTTAAAATAAAATAGCGACAATGAAGTGATACCTCAATAGGTGGATATATGCATATTGCACCACATACGATATGCGTGTGTTGTTTTTAGCTTTGTTTTACTTCAGCATAAAAGTGTCATCGAGCCAAAAGCAGAGGACATTAATTTGGGTTTTTCATATCCTGTCAGAAGTTGTCACAAAGCCTAAACCAGATCTTGTATACAGTCTTAGTTGTGATTCTTATTACAGAATGGAGATAGAAATTCAAGTTCTTTGTTCCTGGAGATAGCTGCTTTTTTTTTTTTTTTTTTTAAACAAGTGCTTTTTTCTCTCTCTGTCCCCCCCCCCACTTAACGAGTTGCTGAAAATATTGAGATTTGGCAGTGAAATCTTCCACAGAGGTACTTGGCAATTAGAAGGAAAGATGCCAGTTTCAAGGATTTTCATTGAGTTAGTTTAGCGCTTATAGGGAAGTATGAGAAGAGAGAGAATGTGCCAGTCTGAAGACCTTGTATTTGTTCATAGATTGGTGTGAAGTAAAGGTTCTTTAGTAGAAGTTTTACTTTCTGTACAGTAACTTTGATTCTATTACGTGTCCTGTGTATAATTTTATATGTGATGTTATGTATGCCTTGGGTAGATCCCGCTTGGCCTTTGTTTAAATATGTCAGGTTTAAGACATTAATTTGCAAAGCCAAATGAAAAATGTGCTTAACTCTTGACACAGCTTTATTAGACAAAAATGTTTTACAATCTGTATGCTTCCTGTTCTCTAACATTAGATTCGATACAAGACCAATGAGCCAGTATGGGAGGAAAACTTTACTTTCTTCGTACACAATCCCAAAAGACAAGATCTTGAAGTTGAGGTATGTTGTCTCACTCTCTTTAGATACCTTTCTTTTCTAAGACATTTCAGTAGTACCACTCAGACATTACAGCCTGTTACGAAATGAGACTGAATGTGTTGTGAACAGCATTAAAATTGTACTTTAAGTGGTGGTTAAGACCAGGTTATGAAATGTTAATTTTCATTTACTACTAAAAAGAAGAAAGACTGTAACCATTCTCTCACCAGAATAACATAGTTGATGGTTTTCTTCCTTAAAAAGAAAAAGTAAATTTTGGTAACTGCTTTGAAACTACAGTTTTAACTGCTAGCAGAGATTGCTGTTACGTATGGCTGATTTGTTTCCTCCCTTATCCTGGGGAAGTCTTTGCTTTCTCCTAACACTTTATCCCTTTACACTGCTGACATGTCATTCACATAGTCCAAAGAGACTGAAGTAAAAACGAGAACTGTCCTACTTGCTATTCCTCTAGCAGTTGTGGGAATTGATTTTCATACAGACTCTTTGAAAACCAAGTAGTTATCAAGGGTCAGGCAGATACAGATGTGATGGTTAGTTTTCAGTCTTGCTCTTGTTGTAGAAGATAGTGATGAAGAAGCTAGGCACTTGTATATTTGCTATTTGCTTCAGCGTAAAGTAATGCTACAATCAGGGAAATGTGGTTTAGGAACAAACTACACTCGATATTGTTTGGATTTTTGTGTTTTTAAATAAAACTGTCATTTCCTTTTCTTTGAATTCTTACAATGCAGATAATATAAAATGACTTAGCTTCTGTGTTCCTTCAGGTGCGGGACGAACAGCACCAGTGTTCTTTGGGGAACCTCAAACTGCCTCTAAGCCAGTTGCTGGAGAGTGAAGATTTGACTATGCATCAGCGGTTCCACCTGAGCAACTCTGGTCCAAACAGCACCATAAACATGAAGATTGCACTCAGGGTACTCTAAAACTGTTGCCACTGTAAATTTCTGAAAGCATGTTGAAGAGTGTTGTGACTTCTGGCCTTCTAGCTTTATGGAGAAGGCAGTACATTTCCTTGGATGTCACAATGGCAGGTGTCCTCAGCTGTGGCAGTGCTGTCAAGTACACAAACTAATTTAAATACATTCTATTTCAAAACCAGAAAATCCTTCAAACAAAACAGTAATTAGCTGCATTAATTAAGACTGAGGTTCCCCATGGTTTTAGGTTTGAAAATCTGAATTTCTTTGGGTCTTTTAGGACTTGGTAGGCTACAGATCAGTGAAATCACCTTGATCTTACAGAAATGGAGCTGAGGTCATGATGGTTTAAAAAGAATTAAGTTTATAGTGAGAAGAAGTACCTTCTTAGTACTAGAAAAATTCAGACCAACTTTGAAGCACATTGGAGCTTTTAAGACAAAACTTGCATACCTGAAAGTTGGTTTGTCTTCTTCCACAGCTAAATTATTTGGTTTAATAAGGTAGCATATGTCTTTACAAATACTGTCAGACTTCTGTTAACTTGTGTTACTTGTTCTTTTCTAAAACACTTTCTTGATTACTTGTCATTTATAAATGAAAATGTTAAGTGTTCAAGGCCAGGCTGGATGAGGCTTGGAGCAACCTGGTTTAGTGGAAGGTGTCCCTGCCCATGGCAGGGGCGTTGGAACTAGATGGTCTTTAAGGTCCCTTCCAACCCAAACCGTTCTGTGATTATGTGAAAATAACCTAGAAAAGAGACAGTAGGGACAATGAGTGAGAAGAACTTATAATGTAGGTTTGAATTTCAAAAGATGAGAAGAAAAAAATTATAGAATAGCTTTCCAGTTGGCTGTAAAGTCAATACCACAGAAGTGTGTGGAGTATGGGAAGGGAATAATGAGGAGAATAATTCTAAATGAATAGGGAATTTCATTATTTTGTCGTTACTGCAATTGCCACAAAGAAGGTGATGGTTTAGCTGTGCCAAAGGTTTCCTATTGGAGAGTGAGTATAAGTGTGAATATTTTTGGTCCTGTATTAGGGTCCGAACTTAAGAACTTGTCACCAACCAGTACTATTGTAGAAACAAATTTGTTTCTGTTTTTTATACTGGAAAATAATAATATTATATGTATTTCTGCTGTCTCTAGGTTCTTTCTCTTGAAAAGCAAGCAAGATCTCCAGATCATCAACATTCAGCTCAAGTAAAAAGGCCATCTGTTTCCAAAGATGCAAGAAAATCATCCTTTAAGCCTCAGGTTCCTGTCTCACCACCACCTGATTCAAGCAAACCGGTTCCAGCTTCCCCAGTGACTGACAGTGATAAAAAGACTGATACAGCTGAAAAAAGTCAGCCTCCTGGTGCCAGCCCTCAGTGGCCAACAGATCTCAGCCGAAGTTCCTCCAGTCTTCATGCCTCTAACTTCTCTTATTCTCCCAGCCACCTCTCGGTCAAAGAACCCACTCCTAGCATAGCCTCTGACATATCTCTGCCTATCGCCACGCAGGAGCTGCGGCAAAGACTACGACAGCTTGAAAAGTACAGTGTTAATTACTTGGCTTTGCAATATATTTAGGTTTATGTATAAAAAAAAAATATCATCAGTGCAGGCAAAGAAAGAATGCTCAGTTTACATTTCAGTAATTTTTCCTGCTGCAGTTTGAGCCTGGCATTTGAAAACCAGTTATGATTTTCTGCTTCCTCCCAGTACCTCAGTTAAACAGATTCTGCAATTAGAAGTTACCTTACCATTGCAATGACCTGCAAGACAAAGTCCACCTGTGTAGTGCTAAAAAAGAGTGGAATAGCAAGAAGGAAGGAATTTTTCAATACAACATTAATCAATTTCATGGCAACAGTTGCCTGTTTCACCACTGAATCCTATTAGCATTATGGTTAAGCCAATTAAACCGAACATAGCTGGTCTTTTAAAATTACTCAGAGGGATAGTTAACTGTAAAGAATGTTAAGTTAATAGCCAGTTACTTTTCATTTAATGAGGATTGCTGCAGCCATGTTTTCTTAAATTCTTTTTTTTACTTGCCTCAGCGGACAGCTGTGCTTGCCGGTAAAGATAATTGAGCAGCCATTCTGCTCTGAATAGGAAAATGGAAACCATTAATTCCCTACTCATGTAGCTTCTTTGTGAAGCTAAATAGAAAGATTTTAATTTTTTATTGGTAAGGATTGAACTGATTCCTCTTTTTCTCTTAGAGTTCAAAGAATCAGTAGTTGGAGGGAACCCCTGGAGGTTGGTCAGCCCTCTGCTCAAAGCAAATCCCACTTCAACATTAGGTCAGGTTTCTTGGGCCTTGTCCAGAAAAGTTTTGAATATCTCTAAGGATGGCGATCCTATAAACTTTCTCAGCAATTCCAGTGCTTAATGACTCACTCCACTGTGAAAACGTGTTCTTTTTTTCCTTATTTCCAATTGGAATATATCTTGCTGCAACTTGACTGTGGCCTCTTGTTGTTTTACTGTGCACAGCCACGTGGAGCCTGACTCAGTCTTCTCTGTAATGTCTGTTTTAAGCAGTGAAAGCCTGCAGCTGAATATGCTGTTGGCCTTCCCTTCAATTTGTACAAACCCATTTACTTCACCATCTGTTTATGTGCTCCAGTTCCTCATTTATCTTTATGGTCCTCTGCTGTCTTGTCTTCAGTTTGTCAAGTTCTTTTCTGGCCCAAAACTGAGTTAGACTTTGTTAATTATGCTAAGTGTTGAAATACTACTCCATATTTAATGCACAGATTTCAAACTTGCTTATTTGATACGAGTGGTAAAGCTAAGGAGGTCCTTTATTGCAGGTCCCAAATTTTTAGGTGCTCTGATTTTTTTTTTTTTGTTAAACTTTATTTTAACTAAGAAAATACTGAACTGCAATGCTTCATTCTAGCTTTTGAAGTGAATGACTTTGGAATTTTAATGGAGCAATCACTTTGTAGTTGCTATTCCCAAACGAGGCATCCCTCTCCTTTGAATTTAAGACGTCCTTCAGATGGTTGAGAAATGCCAAGCACACTTACACTGTCCTGTGTGAAATGGAAAATACTCATAGTCAATTTATACAAACCAAAATAAGCATTTTGTAGAGGTGAGGGAACTCTGCAAATATTGGCCATTCTTTAAAACAGAAATTCTTAAACATGGTGCTTTGCTTTTTATTTAAGCATGACCTATAATTTTAAGTGTAAATTGACTCTAATCTGACTTTCAGTTGTGCATGCGCTACAGAAAAGTAAAATGGCTCTGTTTATACAGTGATTGGAGCTTTTAAGACAACAAGTGAGTTTAAGTATTACTGGTTTAATCCCAAGAATATCTATATTTCTGTGTTAGAGAATTTAGAAAAGAATGAGTTGGTCTTCTAATTGGTTCCTGGCCGTAGGTAAGAGTGGCCCATCACTGAGTTTTTCATTGCAGTTTGCACCATTATCCGTTCCAGTTTCCTAGATGCTGCTTTAATGTTTATTTTAGGGTAAGCAAGTTCTTTAGTGATAATGGTTTTCAAAGTACTGAAGAGCAGCTGATCTCTGAACTGATGAGACTACCTAGCTTGTTTTGGAGAGTAGAGCTGTTGGACAAGGACCTGAAGTACAAGAAACTGATGAAGATATGCTGACATGCTGATAGGCACTCTCTTCTTTACGCTGGTCTGGTGAAACATTAAATGGATAAGACATCATTTCTGGGAAGATACTCAGCATATAATTCAGTTAGATCTTACTTTACATACATGTTTTAAAAGCTAAGTGTAATGTTCTGATTTTTCCTGCAGTGGGACAACTCTGGGGCAGTCTCCATTAGGACAGATTCAGCTAACAATTCGTCATAGTTCACAAAGGAACAAACTGATTGTGGTAGTGCATTCCTGCAGGTGAGCATAAAATACCAAATTTCATTTGTGTGCATATTTCTTTGTAAAATTAATGTAAAATCATAAAAGTCATATCTTGGCTTATCCTCTTAAATTGGTTGTCTGGGTGATCTTTGTTATTTTTAAAATAGCATGCTGATTGTGATTATGTGTAAATACAAAAACATACAGAGCTATGCTCAGTATCAGTACCAGCTTCACTGAGGATTTTGTATTTGTCTATTATGCTTCTCTCAGACTTGAAATGAAAATGGCATGTAGATTTTTATTAGCAGTGTCTGAAAACTGTCTCTAAGAGACTGAACATGGAATGACCAAACCATTTGAAGTGGAATTTAAGAAACATTTTATTCGCACCCCTGATGTCTGCTCACTGTTTATCTGATCTTGTACAAGTTACTGCTTGGCATTTTTTTAGTTACTGTTTTCTACTGCTGTTAGCTGTCTCGTATCCTGTGAATCATACTTTGTGCAGGATATTCCACAACTGATTCATGCACTAAATTAAGTGCTAGTAGTGTAGACACTTATATTCAGCAATGTCTCGTTTATTTTCTAAGTGTTCTTCCTTGTTTTTCACTGGCCACAGGAATCTAATAGCATTTTCAGAAGAAGGATCCGATCCGTATGTGCGAATGTATTTATTGCCTGATAAGAGACGATCAGGACGAAGAAAAACACATGTATCAAAGAAGACATTAAACCCAGTGTTTGATCAAATGTATGTTCTAAACTGTGTAGTAGTTTTAAGTCATGTAATTAGAAAGCTGTCAAATCAGGGTTTCTCAGCTTACCTGAATGGGTGGGCTGTTTAAACTCTTAGTTGTCACCACCAGACTTGGTCATACCTTTCTCTTCTGCTCTAATAGCTATTCCCATCCTTCCGTTCCCTGTTGTCACTGTAGCCCTTCTAACTCTGTTACCAGCCACTTCTCTGTTCTTGTCTGCCTTATCCTGTGTTGGTTACATCCCCTTTGTGCTGGGAGCTAAGAAGCAGTGTGCATTCTTGTGGCAGTGGTCAGAATGTGAGTGCCTTCTGGTTGGGCACTGCTGTTGGTATCCCTTCCTGCCAGGAAGCATTGGATTCTGAATGTCCGATTGCCTGGCTGATAGATGCTGCCTCCTCGGTAGGACTGGCCAGTCAGTGTCTATGCATGATCAAATCGCTCAGTCAGTCTACTTGGTGGCACTTCTCAGCATCCAGGGGTCAGGAAATTTCCCCAGCCATTATATCCTGCCCACAGGTTGGAAGAGGTGCAGGCCTGTGCAACATTATGTTGCACTGTTCAGTAAAGATGACCTTTCTCTACAGACAGTTCATTTGGGGAAAACAACCCTTAGGACCATTCTCTTCAAGGGAAATGTGTTAATCATTAGTTAGAGGCTGTGGTAGGTATTCCTGGTAGTGCAACACTCTCCTGTTTATTCCAGGTAATAGATTTGGTTTGCTCTGCCTTTCCAAGTAAAATATATTGCCGAGCAGTAAAGCTGTTGAAGAACTGTAGTGAGAAATAGATGCAGATTGTGCTATAATCTTGCCCTCACTTTCTGTAAATTTCAGATCTAGCAGACAAAATGCATTCTTCCATAAAAGCTGATAGGTTTTCTTGGTGTGCCAAGAAGGAAAAGAAGCTCTGGTTCTCAAGAATCAAGGATCAGTAAGACTGACCAGTCTTTCCCTTTTGGAGAATAGTGATACTGTACTGTCAGTATAGTAGGATTCCTCATTCTCCTCTCTGTGGAGTCGGTGGTTGACCTGTTTTGGGTTTTGTTCGGGTTTTGGTGGGTTTGCCAGTGGCTTCTGTAGACCCAAGGGAACAGAAGTCTCAAACATTTGATACTGATCATAGTATTGAAGAAAAAGTTTTGGCAAAACATTAGGATTTTTTTCCTTCATTTATCTCAGACCTCAGTTTTTGTTTGGGGAAGGGGACAGTTTCTTTATAATTTGAATGGTTTAACTGTAGGAACTGAACGCACATTTCAGGTCCAAAAATCTCTAAAGCATCACTTTGCCTGTCAGATTTGATTTCAGTGTTTCCTTGCCTGAAGTACAGAGAAGAACACTAGATGTAGCAGTGAAGAACAGTGGTGGTTTCTTGTCCAAAGATAAAGGGCTGCTTGGCAAAGTAAGTTGATAACAAACAAATTCTGTTAATACAGCATGTTATTATGTAAGACTAAAACCCTCTTGTGATATGAGCTTGTTAATGTTGACTGTAGTGATAGGCCTGTAGTGACAGGACAAGGGGTAAGGGGTTTAAATTGAAAGTGGGGAGGTTTAGATTAGATATCAGGAAGAAGTTCTTCCTGGAGAGGGTGGTGAGACACTGGAACAGGTTGCCCAGAGAAGCTGTGGATGCCCCATCCCTGGATGTCTTCAAGGCCAGGCTGGATGAGGCTTTGAGCAACCTGGTCTAGTGGAAGGTGTCCCTGCCCATGGCAGGGGGGTCGGAACCCAAACCATTCTATGATTCTGTGACTGAAGCACCTGGTTTGGGTATGAAGCCTTTAAGATTTATAGAGGGCTTAGATCTCAAAACATCAATACGTGAAGGAACAAACTGCAAAGACAGACGTCAGATGAGGCAGTAATCTCTTCTAGGGAATGGTAAGTTCTGCTGAGGCTTGCAGTAACAAGAGAAACCTGCATGTCACTCACTCATCAGTCAGAGAAAGAAAATAATAGGTAGAAAACAGGCAGTATCTCAGAAAATCTTCAGACAAAACTGTAAAGACAAGGAAAAGTACTTAGAGAAACACACAGAACAATATATGTTTAGTAATTAAAATTCCAGATTGTAAAATCCATGAGAAAGAACTATTACTAGAGACGTTTCCCCATGCCAAAACCAGCTATTGTCTTTACATCTCCTCTGTTCTATAGGCATGTGTGAAATCACTCTATTTCCTACACATGTGATGTGGAGCACACAAATAGGAATAGTAAATTCCTACACCCATGCAAATTGCCGTGTTCAAGCTCTGTAAAGAGAGGGAGAGATTCAGAACGGTGGTCAGTTCATGCTGAGCAGTGCTCTGAATTTTCCTATGTACCAGGAAGGCTGTTAGCATAAACACATCAGCTGATCACCATTACCAAGATATGTAGTGTTCAGAATTTAAGCCTCTGAGGTGTTCTGGGATCGTGTCACTAATGGATACAGATTGTTTAGCTCAAAACCAGCAACTTCAAACTTTACTACAAGTTGGGCCAATAGCAGATAGGTATGATGATAAGGATGTAAAATGTATTGTTTATTAGTGGCATTACTTATACCGTAGTTTACAGGATTGTTAGATTTGATCTTTAAAAGACATAGAATGAAGGGGACACGTAATGCATTGATTGCTAATTTAACTTTCCACAGTTACTAATACCTCTGGCATCTGAAGAACTTGCTAAAGGCTGGACCCAGTGGTAAGTGTAATATCTCCTTTATTAATGATAATACTGCATACTAATAACTGGTGTGTTAATAGTTGTTAATAGTAGTTTTAGTAATACATGCCAAATGTAAAAAACCATTTCCTTTGTTTTTGTCACTTTCAGGTATGATTTAACAGAAGATGGCACAAGGCCACATGGTGCAAGTTAGGCCCATGGATACTGGGAGTTCCCCACGCGTAATTTTGCCAACCTTTATATATTTTTAAAGCATTGTTCTCACGATGTACCAATATTATTTTTATAGCTTTACTGATTTAGTTCTTAGACACATCCTCAATAATTTTATAAAACTTGGTCATTTTGTGTAGACGTAGCTTTTCTCATCGTTAAACTTTGTATTTTAATTTGCTAAACAATTTTATGTGTTACTGTAATGTGCAATAGTACAGTAAAGTAACCTTTTGTGTTTAAATTGATCTTTATGATGGCTGTACCTATTAGAAAGTGAAAAGATTATGTTCTGCTGTTCTCCTGCCTTGTTTTATATCTCACCAAGGGATACTGTACCATGTAAATATATACTATTTTTTTATAATTCTTTCATGCTGGTTTGAACTCAGAAGACAATTAGATAAAGGATATAGATATTTTATTCTAAATGCATGATAATTTCTTCAGATGGATCTCTTCTGTCTTTGCAGCACAATGGTCTTAATCATTTTGTGATATTCTTCAAAAATGAACTGCAGAAAAACATTTTTACTTTATTGTGTTTCTGGCCCAGTGTGGCTAGCTTAAAATGTACAAAACATAGACATTTTAATATTTATATATAAATGTATTATTGGGAAATCATCTATAGAATATTATAAACAAAAATGAGAATACTATAAATATTGTATAAATAGAGGATGGGGCTCATGAATCAGTTTCTAAATCTGAGTTTTCATTTCATGGAGGAAACATAACAAACAGTACGGTTTAATTACACAGGTCACTTGGATTTTGTTATTTATTCCTGTACTCTGTATTACTAGAGATGTGACCTTTTGAAGGTATGAGGACATGGATTTTCCTGTATTATAAACAAAATCTCTAACCACTTAGAACTGTCCTTACTGGCCATGTTTCACTGATTTATAAGGTATACACATCAGCTTGCAGCGTAAGTTCACATAGTAGGCATATGTACAAGACATACGTTACTTTTAAAATACAATACTGTGCTAAATAGTATACTATGCTATACCTTCTGTAATACTAAAATGGAACACCAGTAGGTAGGAAAGTGTGAAACTGACTGTCTTTACAGTTGCTTCATTGCTACTTAGTGTGTTTGGTGCATGAAAAAATGCACTTCAGCAGTCCACACAGGTTTCTTGAGAAATAATGACATTCTACTGAAGCATTGCCATAGTCTGCTGCAAGACTACAGCAGTGATACAATTAGCACAACCTGATAATAGTAGACAGTTGAGTTGAAGCAAGAGTATCAGCCTGAAAAGCTGAGCTCATAGATTTATGAATTGTGTGGATTTTTTTTGTATTCAGAACAGATTTTTCTTTTTCTGATAAGTTTTCTCAGACTGTTACAAAAATGTGCATTAAGTATCCAAGAGAACAGTTCAGCTCTTTCAGAGCCAACACCCTCATTCTTGGGTAAGTATGCAATTAGACAGACAAAGTGTGTATTATTCAGCTAACATTCTAGAATGATCTCTCAGCCAAGAAAGAACTTTAAAGCAGAATAATAAACTCCTGAAATTAGCTTTATTGAAAAATTACTGACAGAACCTTAATTCTAGATGTAGAATACGCCTACATTACTAGATGTACCTAAGTGCCTACCACAGATGTAGCTTTTTGTCTTCTTCAAGTTTAAGAATTGACTCATTTCAGTATGTCTGAATTCAGTTTAACATGAACATGTATCACAGATATGTGTGACACGCACACGTACACCTCTATACAGTGATGGCCTTCTTATTGCCACATTTTATACAAGACAATTTTAGTAAACAAACTTACATTGTAAATTTTGCTGCCGTTACGTTCTGGTGAACTGGGCAATAGAGAGAGGCTCTCCATAAGAAAACATTTCCATTTGGAGGCTTCACCCTATATTGGAATGTATGAGTATCTGTATATATATATATACACTCATCTGTTCGTACAGAATGTAATATATTATAAAATGCATATTTTCTTTGCTAGTTGCCCATTAAAATGGTAAGAATGGAAAGACATGGAATTATTGTCATTGCAATGAAAATGCAGAAAGTGAAAGCTGATCTAAGTAAAGGAGGTGTAAGTGCAGCAGTTCAGCATAATTGACTGTTGCCTTGGTCAGCCCGAGGTAGAAGGACTTCTGCTGTACATCTTGGCCAATGACTCCCCAGAGTTTGATCCACGGCAGTGGCCATGGTTGGACTGATTAATTTGGTGTTTCAAGTCCTAAGTGAAGTCTGGGGACAGATGTTAGAAGACTCTGCACTTAAACAGAAATAGCGCACATTTTGTCTTCTGAAGTCTCGAGGAGCTGGGGGGGAAATGCTTTGTTTGGGTAAATGTGAGATGACAGCATAAAGTGATTAACTGAATGAAGTATATAGGACAGGTTTCCAAAATAGGTCACAACCTAAAATCAGGGATTGGTTCTTAAGACAGCCCAGTTCCTATTTAGGAATCTAAAATTAAGAGATTGAATTGTCATTGTAATTCAGTAATTCCCATTGACTGTAATTGGTCCTGGATGATCAACTCCTTAGAAATGTTCTCCTGAGTGAATTTGGATCAGAATATGACTGCTTAGATGAGTGAGTGCTTTGATAATGGAAACAAACCTCTGTATAATCGTTATCAAATTCCGATTGTTCTGTTTATAGGGAAGTAGGAAGGACAAACATCACTTTTTCTCTGGGCAAAAATTGCACCTCATTATCAAGGCAATGTATTCAATATCAGCTGATAGCTTTTCATGTAGTTCTTGTTTATCCTGTGCCTTAAAATATGACCATATGAAGATGTTTAAGAAATAGCTAAAAATAAGCTTTGTTACCTGTATGTACCAACACATGTTCTCTACTATTGAAACTTTTTAGAATTACTCTGCTTCACTGACAAGAAAACCAGCTTTCTTAATTATAGCAGTGGTGTAACCCGAACTCAAATCAGCATGCATATCACTTGGATTTGGATTAAAAAGAATTTTCATTTTCTGTCTTGAATCCTTTATCAGAGCTGCAGCAAATGGTGAGAGTTAAAATGAGAACAAAGGGTAATCAATTTTGTACAGATTGCCTTTTTTGCTCATGTAATTCTACATTATGATGCATGTATTTATTCAATAAATGATTCATATGGAAGTCAGTGTGTTGTTTCTCCACACACACACACTCTCCGTTTCCCCCTCTTTTGCATATCCCTGTCCTAATTAGTAATGTGTTGAGGTGAATTTTTAAAGTAGTCCTGTATGCTGGCTACTCTAACCTAGGTAGCCTTGCTCTAAGGTGTGTAGGCAGATTTTGGGGGTCCACCTGAGAGGAAGTGGAGTGAGAAGTAGAGGATACTGCACTAGGGAATTCCTTACTTGTTGGTCTGGAACAGATTCAGATGTAAAAATGAGTAGGTCCTTTGTTCAACTAAAGTTCCTAAAATTTTTTTCTCTTAAAATGATCAGTTGAACAAATTGTCACAATTCTAGCACTTACTCATCCATAGTCATGAACTATGTTTTCAAAAGGACCTAGAACTGTGAGTAATTGCCTTAGATTTAGCACCAGCAGATTGCTACCTGCGGCAGTCTTTCCTGTCCTTCCACCTGCTTCTTAAGGCAGATATTGACAGAAGATACAACTACGTACCGCGTGAATTAGAAAAGTGGTATTGGATCCTCTAGCTATTACAGAAAATTACCATAGATGATATGTTCTTTGCATTAAACATTAATCTTTAATTGTAATGGCATAATCAATCATGATACCTCTTAACAGCTACAACTTGTCTGAATTCCTAATAGTCAGTTTTCATCAGCCATAAATAAAAGCTGCGGAAGTTCATCACCCCGTCAGTCACTATTGCGTTTAGAAGAGACCCCACTGGATAACCTTTATTGATACCAGCCACAAAATTATGCTTGGGGTGTGTGTGTGTGTGTGTTCCTGGGAGAGATGGATATCTTCCTGTTTCAGCAGAATAAAGGGCTTCTGCTAATCACTGGCAAGGCAGCTAAAGCCATGTAAAAGCATGCCCATCTTCAAACCCCCTCCTGGCAAGGTCTTTCTGGATGGCACACTTCCTGGCAGCACTAGCACTGATCAGGTGTCTGCATTTTCCAGACTTGGATCAAAATCAAACCTTCAGTGCCACAAGACAGGTGGTGACTGGATCAGCACCTGCAGAAGAATGCTGCCTATGTATTCACAAGATCTCATTAGAGAACAGAAATAATTATGCAAGGCACTCCTCTTGGAATTAATTTGATAGGCTTGGCCAAGCCTAGACTTTTTCTTAATATTTGCTGTACTGTTTAAACGGGTTTGGGCCATCATTTAGTTCATCCAGTCTCATCCATGGGCAGTGTTTGCCAACACAGTTAGCAGTGTGGTTATTTCAGGTATTTTCTCAGCTAAGAGCTGAATGCAAAATCGGTTTCCTGTGAGGTTTCTGTTTTAATCATGTCAGTTATTTATATTCTCCCCCCCAAAAAAAACCCTGGAGTATTGGATGGTACCTTTGATAGTTGGTTGAAAGAAGCAGAACCTCAGATGGTCCCAGACCTATTTGTGGCTGTAGCTGTTTGCTGAAGGAGTCAGGCTATTTAATCACAAACGGTGGTTTTATACGTCTTAACAGTGTCTGACTTTATTGCTGTATGCTCTCCCACTGATCTCTAAGGCTGTCAGGCTCTCAACAATGTTCTCAGCCACCTTTTGAAATATGCTATTTGAAAAATGCAAAGCAGCTAAAATTTAAAAAACCACTTGTATTTCTTTCCGTTTTATGCGCTGAATTTAGCTGCCAGATTAGAGGGCAGCTCTGGGAGAAAAGCTCTCTGATCTGTATTCACATGGTAGAGGGGACGCTCTGTTCTCACCGTCCGCAGGGAATATTGTGTGCCAGTCACCGACACTGGAATCTGGTTTGGGCAGACTACTGCATATCCATTTGCACAGATACTATCTTGGTTGAGGACAGCCGGGTCCGTGCCTGCCAGGATGTGATAATCCAGCTGCCTTCAGAGCTGAGGGTGTAGCAGCTCGGCCTGACTGCAAGCAATGACATACAGAAGAAGGTTGTGAAGTCCCAACGACCTGGCTGTCCTCACATCATTCGTCGGGCGCGTGACGAACCTGTTGTGCGACTGACAGTCGATGTTATTTTCCAAGCACAGTAGTTCCTTTCAGATGACCTGAGTGCTGGTTTCAGTGGAATCGACACCTGCCAAGGTCCCTTCCAACGTGAATTCTTCTATGACTCTCAAATAAGGTTTTTTTTCATGTTAAAACAAGGTCAGTAAATGTACTGGAGCTCTTGTGCAGTCTTGGGCCGGTGCAGTAGGTCTTCCTGGGCATCTTGCTGCCTGACCCTGAGCTTCACATGCCCCCAGGATGGGCATGTAGCAACTCCAGCTGAGCAAAAAAAGGGGGGCGCGTAGCAGGAAGTTGTGAGCTT